TGGAATAGAAGGACCCTTCAAATAAATATTACTGATTTTTTCTTAAAATTGTTGAAATAAGGAAAAATCTCTAGACAATCTTTCATTTGTTTTTTTTGTTTGTTAAGTGCCGTCGAGTCGGTTCAGACAATCTTTCATAAGTGGCATCAATAATGAGAAGAATATGGAGTCAGTTATATTTTACAATAAAAAGTCATTACTAATTCCAAACTTAGAATGTTAGAAGGTTATATTCATTCATCTTGTCATCAAGACTGAGCTTGTTACAGCATGACTATCAGCCCCCATTTAAACTAGGTATCCGCTAAATCCTTTCAACTCCCATCTCACCCTGACTCCCCTGCCCCCATCTTATGGAAAAATAATAAATAAATGTCTCCCATTAACACTTCAATAACAGGATAACTGCGAAGGTTAGAATGACCTTAAGACACTTGATAAAGACTTAGTTAAAAACACCAGCTCATCTGCATAAACAGGATAAGGGTTTATTGGAGGGTTTACTCCCATTTACACAAACAGGATAGGGGTCTGCTGGAATTTTCCATGCCAGGTGAGGAGACAAATCTGTTTGTTTCAACCGGTCTGTATTTTTCTATAAAACCCTGTTCCTCTGCTTGCTTCCGGGTCATAGTTATTTGGGCTTTAGCTGACATTCTGGCCTCGGGGCATTAAACTTTGCTCTTTGAGATTCTCAGGTTGAGTTCTTTCTGACTCATGTTGCCACGACAACCTCAGTGCTATTCCCTCCCCTCATTGGGCTGCTAACCTCAAGATCAGCAGTTCGAAACTACCAGCTGTTCCATGGAGAAAGATGAGGCTTTCTACTTCCATAAAGATTTGCAGCCTCGGAAACCCTGTGTAGGGTCACTATGAGTTGGAACCGACTCCACTGTACTTAACAACAACATATGGGTGAATAAACTGAAGCACTGGCAATTTATATAATCTGCCCAAGGTCATACAACTAAAAGGTACTGGAGTTAAGTTGGCATTCTGACTCCAGAGTATGTACTAATTATTGTTGTTGTTGTTAAGTGGCGTAGAGTCGGTTCCGACCCATAGCGACCCTGTACAGGGTTTCCGAGGCTGTAAATCTTTACGGAAGCAGAAAGCCTTATCTATCTCCCGTGGAGCAGCTGGTAGTTTCCAACTGCTGACCTTGCAGTTCACAGCCTGATTCGTAACCACTCCTAATTATAGTCTAGTCAAATTAAAAACAAGTAAGGAAAAGTCACCAAAGAAACCTTTGTGAAATTAATTTTAAAAATAACAAAACATCTTTAATTAATCCCTAAATCAAAAAGAAAAAAAATAAAAGAAAAATCGATAACAATCTAGATATTGTTTGTTGGCTGTATGTCTTGGAGTTGGTCCCGATTCATAGTGACCCTGTATAGGATTGCCAAGGCTGTAAATCTTTATGGGAGCAGAAAGCCTCATCTCTCTCCTGCTGAGCAGCTAGTAGATTAGAAATGCTGACCTTCTAGCTAGCAGCCCAACTTGTAACCCACTATACTACCAAAGTTCCTTAATCTAGATATTAGCATAATTAAAATCTCTCTTGCATCAAAATCTATATATAGTGTTAAACTATGCTCAGAGTCCTGGTGTGGTGCTGTAGGCTAATGCATCAGACTGCAAAGTAGTTTGAACTGCAGGGTCAGTAGTTCAAGCTCACCAGCTGTTCCTTGGAAACTCTATACAGGCTTGCTATGGGTCAGAATCGTCTTGACAGAACTTGTTGTTGTTGTTGTTGTTAAGTGCCGTCGAGTCGGTTCCGACCCATAGCTTAACAACAACAAAAAACCATGCTTAAAGGAAAATATAAAACCCCAAACATGTTTGTTACCAAAGAAAAAATTTCATTGTTGTTTTTAAGTGCCCTTAAGTCGGTTCTGACTCATAACGACCCTGAGTAGGGTTTTTAAAGAGTGACTGGTGGGTTTGAACTGCTGACTTTGTGATTAGCAATCCGGTGCTTATCCCATAGCACCACACACTAGCACATTAAAAATACCAAAAAAGGAAAAAAACAAAAACAAAAACTTGCTAAGAGTATTAATAAAGTAAAGCTAAAATAAGTTATTTAGAAGACAAAATATTAGAAATAAAATGTAAACCAAAAATAGAATAAAGACCCATAGAACATATAAACCTTTATGAACATGAATTAGAATAGATAGGGTGAATAAATTTGTACAAGATGAGGTGCTGAGACAACTGAGTATCTGTCTTGAAGATAATTCCTTATTTTAGACCATAATAAAAAATAATTTTTTTGTATGTTGTTCAGAGAACTAACAAAGATAAATAGTTAGCATATTCTGAGATGGTTGCATGTAAAACATGTTGTTGTTAAGTGCCGTCGAGTCAGTTCTGACCCATAGCGACCCTGTACAGGGTTTCCGAGG